ACAGAGGAAATGAAAGGAAGCCAGAAAAGAATAGGGACAGAAAGGATGTGCAATACGGAGAAGTACGTGAGTATGTAAGCTGATGCTTAGTCAGCTTATAAAACAGAGAAATCGATGGGAATTCTAGTGTGTCCTGAGGCTGGAGGATGCAGGGTTAGGGGAACCTGCTGCTGGGGCTGCTGCTGCTCCCAGTCTATGGAAGGGAGCTGGCAAGCTAGATTCCCATCACTTTAAGACCTTGTGCTCATATAGAGGGTTCTTGCTGGACTCTCTTTCCCAGCCCTCAACTTCGAGTCAGAAAGCCATGGTAGGACCATATCCACTATCCCAACATGGTAGCTCTTGCCATTGTTCACCAGGCCGATTGTACAAGAGCTACAAGGTAGATGGCCAGCATCCAAACCAACAGCTCCTGGGCTGCAGGCAGGCTTTGCTACCTTCCTCATTCTAGGGGCTTCAGGATGGTTGGTACCAGGAATGTTTGGAGAGGATGCTTTGTTTGCGGAGGTGAGAGGGAGCACAATGGAATGTCCGCAGAAGCAGACCCTAAATACTTTAGAAGACAACACTGATTTCTCTTGATTCCCTCTACCCCACAGATTCATATGCCATATATCTCTTGACTTGGCTACATTGTGATAAGGAATAAGGTGTTCTTCACCTTTCTGGGGTCCACTCTGAACACAGGCTCGATGTAATTTCCCAAAACAGTCTCCTCCGGTTTCCAGTGCAGTATGGTGGGAAGTGGGTGCCTTAAGAACACAATATGGTTTTATATCTTGTCTCCAAACATGCTACCTTTGTGGTAGTGAGCAGGTTTGTTTGTTTGTTTGTTTCTTTCTTTCTTTTCCTCCTCCTCCTACCCTCTTCCTCCTCCTTCTTCTTTCTCCCTCTCCCTCTCCCTCACCCTCACCCTCTCCCTCACCCTCACCCTCTCCCTCTCCCTCTCCCTCTCCCTCACCCTCACCCTCACCCTCTCCTTCTCCTTCTTCTTTTGATTTTTCGAGCCTTGGCTATCCTGGAACTCACTCTGTAGACCAGGCTGGCCTTGAACTCACAGAGATCCTCCTGCCTCTGCCTCCTGAGTGCTGGAATTAAAGGCGTGCACCACCACTGCCTGGCTTTGGGCAGGTTGTTATCACTGGCTGGAAATTTCCATAGATGGGAGGCAGGGAATGACTTCCTGTGATAACCTTTCAAATCACCATGAGTCTCTAGGGCCCTTGGATAATCAGATGCAGCTGGGAGGGGACAGGGGGCTTTGGGAGAAAGGGAGTTGGTACCAAAGGGGTCTCTCAAATGAGTGAGGGGTGCTGAACATGGGGCAGACAGCTTCTCCCCAGAGAACCTGGCCTAGGGACT